GAAGATTTTATGAATTCGGGTCCTGCCAATAACTATAAGATTAATTTTATCAATCTAATATTATTGTAATATTCTTACGGGGGTCGCTGTTGTACCACTAAGATTATTGTAATATATATTCAATGTTGATACCTAATTGATATGGAAGATCATAATTAAAAGACTCCAATAGGAGGCATAGCCAAAAGATGTTTCGTCCAGAAAAGAAAGTCATCCAAACATATAGTATAAAGCGTAGGAATTATAAAATTCAGACAAGACTGCACAATTATGTAATCGTTTTTTATAGTCAAAAAGTCGTTCTTAAAATATATATATTCAGAATTAAATACGTTATCATATCACTGTGATATAAATGAATGCAAGTAGGTCGTGCAGGCCAAACAAGCAAACACTAATATTGTTGGTTCAAAACAGCTAGCTATTCTTCTTTCCTTTTTCTTTTTTCAATTAGCTTTTGCTATAAATCAATCAGTGTGTGATGGTCTCTTGTTACTCCCTGCACAACTTCCACATGCGATATTTATGAAAGATATTTGAAATTTCTCTTGCACAACTGGGAAAACACTATATCGGATGAATGATTTGTGAGCATAGGAAAGCACTATATCCGATGAATGATTATATGAGAGCTATAAACACATCTGCCACACGCTTATCTCGAGTAATTTTTTATTTTTTATTGGTCGAACGCTTATCTTGAGTTTGACAATATAAGTTCTCTGTGTCATTAAGCCTTAATCAATTGTATATCGCTAAACACAAAACATGTTAAAATTCGATTATCACTTTATTAGAGCATTTGGTCATTGTCTAAATGTTGTGGTAGCTAGATTTCACCACCCAATTAATGTAATGACGCGTGAACAAAAGCAAAGGTTATTGGAGGAAATTGCTCTCCAGGGCACTTGGGAAAGGGATCTACTCCTAACCACACATTGATTAAAAACAAACGACATCATTTCAAGCAGGTTCCAAAAAAAAGTCACCTCTACCAGCTCCATAGAGAAATTTGGCTGAGCATTGGCCAAATACCTCTAAACCCAAGCCATGCCATATAATATAAGGGAATGACTGTTCAAATACTCCAAGACATTGTCGTTGATGGATTACGTACCTGGATCATACACAAACTCCTTGAGAATAAAACACACACACAACGAAGATCGTAAGCAAAACACACATGAACACAAAGATTTATAGTGTTCGACCTCGTTCCTACATCTTCTTGGTGATCTACCCGAGAAATTTACTAGTATGTACGAATAATTTTGGTTACAATCAAGAACTCTCTTAACTCTCACAAGAACCCTAGCAATCTTTTCTCTCACCCTTGCTCAATTTTGATTCTTTATAAACACCCAAGAATTCCCTCTTAAATTCTCTTGTTACTCTCTTCAAAATTCCCCGACCTCTCTTTGGCTCGGCTAACTTAACATAGCCCCAAAAGTCCTTTTTATAATGCATAGGACTTGGGTTACAAGTTAACCAGGAATGGGAAACCAAAATCCTATTTAATTAGGTTAAGAAACCCAATAAAATAGGAAAGCATGCAAAGAAAATAAGGACAAAGTGATCGTTCGCTTCCTCATGCGATCGATTGCTTGGAACACAGCATCGTCGCGGCCCACTAGAAGAAACCGATTGATCGCATGGCCATTGTGATCAATCGCCTCTAACATAAACTTCCTTGTTGCTCCTCTCTTGCTGCCGCTGATTTTCTCTCTTCGAGGTCATAGGCCACTTTAGTCGTTGATTGTGTATTGGCCTAAGCAACACACTCATTAAAGCCATTAACTATTCCACGACACATAATTAACATGATGAGTGGGATAACCGATCTTAACAAAACCTAGAAAAACCTTATAGTATATGTTACCATGACTCTTACTTGTCACACTTAATCTCTAAACACAGAGATTGACAAAACTCTTATGTTGACAACCGAGAACAGAATCATGGGATGCACATGAATAAGAATTGCATGAGGTCTAGGCTATAGTACTTGGAAAAACATGGGACCTATCATTCTAGGCCCTAATAGACATGTTGTTGAAGAATGGAGGAACTAAGGGGAGCATCATCTTCTAGAGGCTCACATCTTAAACCTCGTGTTGTTCACCCGTTTTATATTTGTTCTTGATGGTAGGGTAAAGTTCCTCATTGTCTTGAAAACCATTGATTGGTCAACAAGTCAACTTTCGTTTATATATGAGCGTGTCACTGCTAGCAATATAAAAACCCTAGTAGACTTCTTTAAAAATAGATAACTTGAGCCCCAAGTCGCTGATTTCTAAACAAGCGATTGTGAATTTGTGTGAGGAATATCTCCCAAGTAAGTTCTTTTCTTGCCTCAGACTGGTGATGACTTCACAATTTTTCACAGTACAAAACTGGTAGTTCTGGCCAGAATAAATCACAAGAAAGTAAACTACTTCAGGTAGAACTGCCTTTTACAAGACTCAAAAAGGGAAAGACCAACTCTAAAAAAGACAAAAGAGCATTTTACTTCAATTTCTTCCTCGATAGCTACTTTTGATCTGGACTGGATTGGATGTATCCGTGCTGGATTAGACCATCAACACCTTCAACTGTCAAGTTTTAGCTATAAATCGATACCAACGTCCTAGTTTGGCAGAGCTTTAATCTATTTCAAGCCCTGGAAGGCTTTTTGAATGGGCAGAATTGGAACCTCTTCAGTCTGGAAGGGGCAGAAGTGGCTGGATTTGATGATTAGAGCTGGAATTGCGCTATAGTACCTGTTCTGCTTGATCAAGGCTCTCCATAAATTTGTTGAGGTTTTCATATTTGTAAAACTCGAACTTTGCTTGTTTTGGTTTATGCTGAACCAAATTTGTAACGAGAGAAATCTCTCTTTGTTTGACTATTTCTCTGAAACTGAACTAAATTTAGAGACTCTGAATTCTAGCTTGACTTGTTTGTTGTGGCTCAATGAGCTTTGGTTTCTTTAGTGTTTTGAAGGTTTTCTGAGATCAAGTAATCATTTTGAGTTTTTGTTTTTGATTGATTTTTTTGTTGTCCTTTGATTTGTTCACCTTCTCTCATATTTATAGAAAAACATTGGAATGGGTTTTCTAATCTTTTAATATTGGGCGGCAGATTTTCTAAAAACAAGATCTTTTATTTTAAATGTCAAAAAAGGGGAATTTTATCTATTCTGGCAGACAAACCATCAACAGTCAGTTCTTTATGGTGATCACTTCTCTGTTTTTTGAAAGAAAAACCTAATCCCCTTTTAACCTTTAACTGCTTTTTGTAAGAATTCAATCTGTCGTGACGGTTAGTTTGCTTTTCCTGATGGACAACTCCCTACTCCCTACTTATCTCTTTAGAAGGTGTAGTCTGCTTATCCCTTGGAAATGATGCCTGTCCTGATGCAGAATTATATAGAAAGGGATTTTGATCTTCTTTTGACTGAAAAGATTGGAGATCTCTTCCTGTTTAAGACCTACCTTCATTAACTCCCCATTAGCTCTTGTGACTAGTTAAAATTGCTGACTTTTCAAAGTCAGGTAGTCATGTGGGTTTGCTTCAATTTTGGGCTTTTCTCTTTTTCATTTGATCACACCAAGCCCAGGTTGAGTTTTGGGGCTGTGAGCTGATTTCTATTCTCTGTTTTCCAAAGCCCAAGTTTTATTCTCGTGGGTTGACAGATCTTGGGCTGGGTTCTCTCAATTTTGGACTCTTGATTCCAATTTAAACGGAAAAGTCCAAACTGCCTGGATTCTATGATTGCTTTGTCGTTATGGGCCTCTAGCGCTGGGCTGGGTGTGCAGAATTTTGGCCCAAACACGTGTGGTCTAACTTTGGCGAGACAACACAAACTGATTGATATACACAAGCATTTGGAGTCGATACAAATGAAACTATGTCTCTGTAATAACACCTCATGAAATGCCTCCTTGACCAGGTAAAATTAATACAAATTCATCAATAACATTAATAACTAGGCAAAAAGTTACTTTGGGTCTATGTGGTTTATCACTTTTGCCACTAAAGTCCATTTTGTTTCATTTGATCGTTATTACCCTTGTGGTTTGAATTTAAGCAATTAAAGAGTTACTCGAGTTTGACACAAATTGGAGACGTTCTTTAATTGCTTAAATTCAAACCACAAGTCTTTAATTGCTTAAATTCAAACCACAAGGGTAATAACGATCAAATTGAAACAAAATGGACTTTAGTGGCAAAAGTGATAAACCACATAGACCCAAAGTAACTTTTTGCCTAGTTATTAATGTTATTGATGAATTTGTATTAATTTTACCTGGTCAAGGAGGCATTTCATGAGGTGTTATTACAGAGACATAGTTTCATTTGTATCGACTCCAAATGCTTGTGTATATCAATCAGTTTGTGTTGTCTCGCCAAAGTTAGACCACACGTGTTTGGGCCAAAATTCTGCACACCCAGCCCAGCGCTAGAGGCCCATAATGACAAAGCAATCACATAATCCAGGCAGTTTGGACTTTTCCGTTTAAATTGGAATCAAGAGTCCAAAATTGAGAGAATCCAGCCCAAGATCTGTCAACCCACGAGAATAAAACTTGGGCTTTGGAAAACAGAGAATAGAAATCAGCTCACAGCCCCAAAACTCAACCTGGGCTTGGTGTGATCAAATGAAAAAGAGAAAAGCCCAAAATTGAAGCAAACCCACGTCATACAAACTTGGAATTAGAGAATCCAAATTGCCGTGATACAAACTTGGAATTTGAAAAACCCATGAAAATCCCCCAAAACTAATATTTGTTGTACCGTGTTATGAACCAAGAATTGGGATTTATCAAAAATAAAAAGAAAAAATAATTTACCAAACAAATAAAATTCGCCAAGCACGCAAAAGTTCCCCGAACAGATCAATAGAAATAGAAATTGGGTGGTTGTTGTTTCTCTATAACTTTTCCTGAGAAAATTGCAGAAGGAAAAGAAAATTAAGAAAAAAAGGAAATTTTAGAGAAGGATTGATAAGAGAGAAGAAAATGGAGATGTGAAGGTTGTCGGGGGAGTGGAATCTAATAGTAAGTTCCCATTGAGCTTCTGGAAGGGTGCTTGTGGCTTCTACTTTGGGCTGGCGTGGGGGAAGGGAAGGGACTGGGTGTGGTCAGTAGATATCAAGGAGAGGTGGGGCGCATTGGGGAACATCGGCGAGGAGATACATGGTTTGGATGAGGGAATTGGGGGATGGGTATTGGGTGTTACAGTCGTGGCAGGGGCATGAGAGAGAGAGAGAGAGATGGCGGTGGTAGATTTGTATTGGGTTCGGGACATGGGGTTGAGTGATGGCGCGGAGGATTTCTCTCTCCCTTCTCTTTCTTTCCTTTTTCTTTTTTTATTTATTTATCTTTCTTGTTTTGGACTGAAATCCTCCAGAATAAGTAACCGCAGTTACTCTAATTTGACAAAAATTGGAGAATGTCCTTGAATTGCACCATATGGGAGAAAATGATCAAATTGAAGCCACAAGACTGTAGTATTAAAAGTGATGAACTACAAGGATCAAAAGTGAGGTTTTGCCTAATATGGAAAAGAAATTTGAAAAATATGAGTAGTTGAATGAAGGTCGTGTACTGATTACTGGTTCTAAGTGAAGAGAAAAAGTCCCCAAATAACAAGAATTAACTGCATCATTTTCCACAGAATTTCCAGAGCAGCTCCCAAATTGACAAACTTGCATTTAATACAATACTAAATAAACTAGGTAACATTAATTTCCCTGAACAATATTACAACACACTACATGCTGCCAACATAATACATTAAGCCGGTGTGCTTCATTAGAGCATCTCCACCCACAAGGGCTAAGTCTAGGGCAAGGGCAAGCAAGGGCTGCCACTATTCACGTGAATAGTGTCAGCCTTTGCATTTGTGGTTCCACCCATGAGGGCAAAGTCTAGGGCAAGTCTAAGGCAATTACTATTCATTGTACTTTATTTCCTATTTTTTTATACTTTAAACCATTAATTTTGATAAGCTTTTTAGATTATATTTTCGGTTGTCACGTATCACTATTTATATTTTGGATGAAGATTTGGTGTGGAAAGTGAATAAAATTGTTAGGTATTTATAGGGAAAACATCCAGAATTTTTTGGTATTTTTTTAAAAAAAATTTGAATTTTTTTGCAATTTTTTATGCCATTTTTTTTTATACAAATGGAAAGTAGTAGAAAAATGTGAGGGAAAAAATAAAATGGTTATGTATTTATAGGGAAAAAATACAGAATTTTTTGGTATTTTTTTTTAAAAAATTCAGATTTTTTTCGATTTTTTTTGCAATTTTTTTAGCCAAAAAAACGAGGACTGTCGGATTGTTGGAAAAAAAAAGGATCGAAGAGTCAGGGTTGCGACACGTGGCACAGTACCGTGCGATGATGTCACTCTGACGTCATCGAACTCGGGCTGAAGCCCAGTGGAAACTTGCCCTTGGGCTTGCCCGGGCTGGTGGGACCCAGGGCTTGCCCGGGCTGGAAGTGCAGCGCTGGAGCTGTTTTGGGCTATCTGGGGGGGCCTTTTGCCCGACTCTGTGCCTGCGGTGGAGGTGCTCTTATAAATCAAGGATAAACCTCAATGAGAGACCTTAAACCCAAACAAGGAGTAATCTTACAATATCTGAAACCTTCGTCAGAAAAGAGCTTAGCCCATTCTTTCTCATTCCTTTCTCTTCCTTTAACCAAGACCATCATCAGCATATCGAAGAAAAGTTGTGTTTCCCCAGATTCCTTATCTGTATTCTTGTTCTCCACCGTCATATCTACGATAATCACCTTGCCTTTCTTGCCCTCTCTTGTAATTGCCTCTTTACATCGCTCAAGTATTTTCACGCATTCTTCATCACCCCAGTCATGCAATATCCACTGTTTGTCATACACAATCACCAAACAAAATCATAAATGGAAATATGCATTTAACAATATAATATCATTAGGATGAGATGATTTACCTTTAAAAAAATAGCATCGGCCTCAGGAACAGCCTCAAACATGTCTCCTGCAACATATTCCAAGTTCTTACTCCCTTTTAGGTCAGCAACTACATGAGGGAGATCAAGTACAGTGCATTTCATATGAGGGAAGGCATCAGCAATGGACTTGGCCACGGTTCCCGTCCCACCGCCCACGTCAACCAACGAATCCACTCCTTGAAACACCCCCTTGCAGTCATCAATCATCAAGCTCGAGCAATAGTCGGGTCCTGGTTCCCATAATCCCAAATGTCATCCCATGCACCACGTGAAACGGCGTAGGATTGTCATTTTGGAACCAAGTGGTCAAATACTGCCATGGATTGGTTAACATGGGATTGAGCATGGCAAGTAAGAACGGCCTTGCACTCATGGGATTGTCTTTCAGGAGGAGTGTGGAGGCGTCTGTTAGTACATAACCTTGTTCCCCGCCACTCAGACTTTCTTGATCAAAGAAGCGGGTGTGGACTAAGATTTGCATGAGGCGTGGGATGAAATGAGCTTTTGTTGGGGAAATTGGTAGGGCGGAGTTAAGCTCGGAAAGAGTCATGGGTTGGCCATGTTTTTGGATGACATCTGGGATACCTAATTGAACTGCACAAGAATTTATGAAGCTAAAAATGTGGTTCATGTTTACACCATAATCAATCGAGCATATCCAACATCGAAACGACTGGCACCAAGGAAGACACGCCTTCTCCCCTGCTGAAATACCCCAAAGGGATATACAGACAAACCCCTAGTGGTTCTCTGGGCGACTGGGTCATGCGCAAGTTTTCCTTGGCCACCAAAAACTCTACAGAGGGTACCCTGGGACCTACGTGGGAAGGCCCTTATGAGGTTACCAAGGTCTGCCACCTAGGCACTTATCAGCTCCGTGATCCCAATGGCAAGACTCTGCCTCATCAATGGAACGTTGATCACCTTAAGTACTACCACAAGTGATCATAGAACGCATCTTGTTTCATATCCAAGTAAGGTTTTTGTTTTCTCATGCCTCGACACTTATCTTAGGCCTCAGGCTAACACACTATGTACTTTTTGCCTTTCGGCATCTATCTAATGAAATGCCTCACTTCGGCTTCTCTCTATCATCACATGTTATCATTTCTGCCAACACAATTGATACCAAAGAAAACAAGTCTAATATCATAGAAAATAAAGGCAACCTTGCCCCATGGCAAGGAAAAATGTTTATACAAAACAAAGATAACACATCACTGTTCCAAAAATAAACAAAATACATAAGGTAGGAAAAACCTTCAGGCCTCGGCATGCGGCACATTTGTGGCGGCAAGCTCTGGAGCAATGATGGCAGTCTCCTTCATCGGCGAGGCAACTGCAGTGGCCTCGGCAGCAAGACTAATTGAAGGAGGCACGCCACTCGGATCAAAGTTAATCTGAAGCGAAGGGTTGAACTTCGCCAAAGTCTCCTCCTAGTGAATCTGCTCATCCACCAACTGATCCAAGATATAACTGTTCAGCTCCTCTGAAGTTTAGTACGACTCAATCTCTTCGACTTGAGCAGCAGCTATCTCCTCGCCCTTCTTTTGTTCGCCCTCGGCGAATGCCCACTCAGAAGACGCCAATCTCTCCTTTAGCTCATCAACCTCCCTGGCAAGAGCCGCCTTCTGCAAGAGTAAGTAAATGGCGGCTCTTGCCAGGAGATGGCCAAAGACAAGGTGGTGGAGGCCAGACACTCCCAGTCACCATAGGCCAGACACCACCTGTTCCTCCAAGATTTCTGAGAAGAAGGCAAGTGACTAATGAAGTAACCTCTCTCTTTGGCCTTTTAGAAATTGGCATGCACCCAGCCAAAGTTTCCCTGTTGCCTAGAAATTGAATAGAGATACATGAACTGCTCAAACGTTGGTCCCCCAATCCCTCCAACCACCGAGCAATATATACCCCATGTAGTAAAATCCAAAAGTTACGATTATATTGCCCTGGGGCATACCCCAACTTGGCCAACATCATTTACACCCACGGATGAAGTGGTAGTTTGAAGCCATGGTTATACATATTTGTAAAAATGAGCACACATCCCTCTGGAGGATATCTCACCACATCCACCGCAATCAGTAGCCTCAAACCCAACGAAGGAGGGACACTGTAATCTGACCGAATCTCCCCTAGTTTTACCTTTCTATGTGTATTCTTCCTCGGCAAGGGGACACCAACCCGTACTGCCAACCCCTCAGAAGCAGAAGCCACGACTACCTTCACTGACCTCGATGGTCCTGCCTGATTGCTCAAGCCTACCTCTGGTGTCTGAGGCAAGGCCAAAACCCGATCAGCTACAACCTCTAACACACTATAATTCCTCTACATCTCCTTATACTCAGCCTCCCGAGAATCCACTGATGGCTCCCCCCCTCTCACAATCGAGCCCTACCATCCTACTCTCTATCACACCTTCTAAATATACAGGCTTGGCTCATCACTTTCGATATCTTCCCCACCAAAGGCAGGGGAGTCCTGACTTTCTTTATTAGAATTCTTAGACATCTACAATATGCAGAAACAAGAAAAAAGAACTAATCCACATGCAAGCAAGATCAAACACAAAAAGCCAGAAACAGACAATCACACCTACATGCTCTTTGCTCTATGAATGAAATTCAACAAGTTCATATCCATATTCAACATGTTCATCCCAATGTTCAAGACGATCGTACCAAAAAAGACATTTCAATTCAAAAATTCAAGGGAAATGAGGTCTAACCTTGTTTGCACCACCACGAGACGGTTGTCGGAAATCACCTTGACCAACGCACTAGCACAAAATATCACACTAGAAATCTCCTCCTCTCCTTCTCACTCTCTAGAAAATTTTCTCTCAAGCCACAAATGTTTTGCCTTCTCCCTCCCAGAGACCCTATTTATAAAAACTTCAAGGTACCAACTTCTCGACTTACGTAAAAACCCTAGCACCGTTTCACCTTCCCTCTCGAATTTCGTGTACCTGCCCCACAAATCAAAATTAAAAAGAAAAAAGAAAAAAAAAGAAGGGGATGAAACCAGCCTTGCCGAACAGCAAGAGCTGTGCAGAAGACACGAAGGGGGGCACAAGACTGGACCAGCCTTGCCAAATGGTAAGGCCTCATATAAAACTTTTTTAGCCTTGCCGAGATGGTGACATCACGAAACCACCCTGGGTCACCTTGCTGGGGCCTTGGTTAGCTTGTGGGTTCGCTCACCTTGCCGAGTGTAGGCCTCTCGGTCACATTGCTGACGCCATGGTCACACATATTTTTCCTTGACTTTGCCGAAGCCCACAAAACCCAAGGATTCCCGATCCACCAACTTGAAGGCCCTTCCTGAACAGCAAGGACAAGCCAACCGTCAAAACTCGGAAGACAACCTTCTTCGAAACGTGCTGAAGGTGCTCACAAAATCTCCATGTTCAAAGCACCTACCGAACACCAGATCTTGTGCTTTAGATATGGACTCAAGACTCCCTCTTTCTGAACAGACACTTGACTTCTTCTCTCAAACACTGCTGAACGACAATTATCAAAACCCATATTTCTTCCTTTTTATTTTATTTAGTGTTGACGCAGAAAAATGGTTCGGTACTTTCCCTCGCAACTTAGCAATTAAGTCTCTTCGGTATCTGATGTCCTCGGTAGTGTGTGCAATCTATAAGATAGCAAACACACGGTAAGTCCTAGGGCACCGGTGTGGTACCGGCCGAAGGCTCTCCGATGCTTAAGTAAGTACGGATTTAGTAAAGTTGAACTACAGATCAATAGGCAGTATGCCGTAAGTTCTGATTGATTACCTTCAAGCTGGGATGGTTGTCCTCTTTTATAGGCCTTGGGAGGTGTGCAATTTGTTTAGAGTTTCGATGTGGGACTTTGGACGTCAGTTGTGGGACTGCCACGTGTCAAAGGGGGCGAGGTTGCCCTAATGTTGCGATCGGTGGGTTTGGTACCGAAGGTGGGTGCCGAAGGCACCCATGGCCCTGGTTTAGCCCACGTGTTCGATATTCATTGGCTGTTCATTTTGGTATAAACAGGAGTCCCCCAAGTCCCCTGGCGAGAGTTCTCGAAAGGGGATTTGAAGTTATCTTCGGAAGGAACCGTGGCCCTACCGTTCGGTAGTCCAACTTGGGGAGGGGGCTAAACTTTGTCCCTTCCGGCATTATTAGTTCAGAGGCTGACGTTGGTGAAGTCAGAAGGTCGCGTCGAGCTGACGGGTGAGGGGACGTCTGAGCGCTTCGACTTCGGCGCTTCGCGTGCCGTCTGTTCTCCACTGGATGAGCGACACGTGGCGAAAGTAATGATGGCGCGCGGCGCATTAATGCGCCGTTTGGTTTTTCGAGGAGTACCGTTGCCAACCACTCCCCTATAAATAGGGATGACCCCGGAGGCGAATTCACTTTGCATCTAGTGAGAAGTGAGAGCTCTGTTTGAGGCGATTTCCGACGAGGGCTTCCGGTAATCAGGCGATTTCCGACAAGTGTTAACAGTAACCAGACGATTTCCGGCGTTTCGAACGGTAGGAAAGGCGATTCCCGATATTGCGAACGGCGGGGAAGCATTCTGAAGAGCAGATCGCGCTTATCTTCCAGAGTACTCATTAAGGTACCGTTCGACACTTTCCCCTTTAATCTGTTGCATGCTTTAAGAGTTACGTCCTTCCTTGGCTCGAACTAGACTGACCATAGGGTTCCATTCGGTAGTCTAGTCGCCATAGGTAGCGATGTAGGGATCGGTAGGATAGCATCCGGCATGAGCCTTAGTTTCCTTTTTCCCTGTTTTTGTAGATGTCTGATAGAGAGTCATTCTCCGAGCGCGAGCCCAATGCGTTCGATGAGGAGTCATCGGACAGTCTCTTTGACTCCGACGGCGAAGCGGCAGGGCCTGATGCCGAGGGTGGGAGTGATACCGACGTCGAGATACTCGGCGAAGGGCCCAGCTCCATTCCAACACACGGAGTCGGAAAGGGGCTAATGACCGCTCCTGTCCCGTTGTCAATCATCTATAGTGACGGCCGCCACGTGGGCCTCGGTATGCCTGGGGAGGCGAGCGGTAGCCGTCAGTCAGAGACCTCCACCTCCGGCCGTGGAGAGTCGGCAGCTAAAACATCATCTGGGCCTAGGGTATCGGTAGTGTACCCAAGCAACCCTAGGCTGCTCATGGGGGTGCCGAAGGAAAATTTATTCGGCGTCGACTATCTTGGGCCGAACAAGATTACCGATC